TATATATATATATATATATATGTGATGTCATAATATAGCATCACAGAAATCGTCAACTTTGAAATGGAAAACAGTTAAATTTGTTTCATGTATCAACAAACAGAAAGTATTTTCGTGAATGCATAGAAAAGGGCTTCTAAAATATAATGTGAAAGGTGAATGGATGAATGGATGGATGAAAGAAAAAGCATAAGGGAAGTATTTATATGTTGTTATATTTTCTGTATATACACTTTGAGATTCCTCGAGCCTAAAATTAAGAGGAAACATTAAAAGGAAACTCCCATAGGATATGATCTTACGTAAGGCGCTGTGATTTATTACCATATTGAATCACACCCACTTTTAATCGCAATCCTAAAGCGAATAAAGAATAATAGGTTTACCAAGTTCAGATGCGTTAGGATTATTAAGGCTTGTTATTAATTGTTTAATCGACACCTAATGATCTGTAAAGGTAGTAATGTACATGGGAAAGGTAATGTGTGACGGAACAAAAAATGGAACCACCTGGTATGAGAGATTTGTGTTTCGAATGTACGAACCTTCGGAATTATGAACCTTAATAATATGAACCTCCGGAATCACGAACCTTTGGAATTATAAACCTTCTGATTTATGAACCTTCGGAAATATGAAATTCTGATTTATGAATCTTCGGAACGTCTAGGTGACCTAACGTTGGAGGCGAGGGAGATACGCTAAAACAAGACCGGTCGCAGTAAATGGTGCATGGCGCTGAGTCACATGCCCAACAAGACAGTGTGAACGGTTTGAGCAGGATGTTGAGAATAGTGAAATATGTGAGTGTGAACGGTGCCCTACCTATTAATTGTAACTATTCCCAATATCAACTGGAAAATTTTTGATAATGATATTTTTTTCTTCAAATGCGGTGGTGGCGTATTCAGGCCTGGGTAATTATTGAGAGGGAGGGGGGGGGGGGGGGGGGGGGTTATCATCCCCAGACATAGCTAGAGAAAGGAGATTGCAAGGTTATCTCGGTTGCCCCGTGTGCTGTAAGTTGGTTTGTTTTGTTTGTAATATAAAGTATGGTGTATTAAATGACATTCAGAAGTGGGAAGGCACATCAGTCCAATAATTTCAGTGCTAATCTTTTCCGGAGCTGTAACAAGTAGTACTTAAAATTAACCAGAATGCATTTAATCAGCTCCCCTTTCATATAAAGCATACCTCACTCCATTTTTTTTGGTAGGCCTAGAAAGCAAAAACCATGCACACACATTTATCAGCGTGCGGCCAAGAATAAATTGACGCAATTTAGCGCTCAAAGGTCATTGGGGACCTAGTGACGAATTATTTCATAAACCTGTTATTAATGCATGAACTATAATGCTTGGAATCCAGTCTGCATACATTTCTGTTGCTATGTCGGGCAAGCCTCAGAAAAAATGTCAGGTTGTCAAGAACAACCTGTTTAAAAAGTATGCATATAATTGAATATGCTAGTAAACCCGTCTATTAATGCTGGCTTGATGTCTCCTACTCTCAAACGCCCTCGAACTATTGGTAATTTCCTATAGGTTCTTCGAGAGAGAGAGAGAGAGAGAGAGACCAGATGCCTGGGTTCTCATTGGCGTTGTTTCTAATGGTATATGACAGGGGTGGATTTATTTTAAGTACGGTCGATTAAAGCTAACTTTTTTTTTCTAGCCTCCAATTATTATCATAATATGTCTTACATTACACTTCAGTTTCACCCTATTCATAGAAAAGACGGACCTTCGGTTCATGAATCATAACTTTTAAGATTAGGGGAAGCTCTTTCGGTCCAGGTCTCCCCCGTCTCCCCTTCTCTCTCCATTCCTCTCCAGCTCTCCCCTCCCTCTCAATTTGTCACTTTTTCCCTGTCTACAAAACAAATTAATTTTTAGCACACAACTAAGCACATCTGCAAAGTCTTACATCGGTTTCTAGAAAGAATATGAAACACACGAGCCGATTCCAGAAATATCACTAAATTATAGAATAAAAAAGGAAAAGAGAGAGAGAGAGAGAGAGAGAGAGAGAGAGAGAGAGAGAGAGAGAGAGAGAGAGAGAGAGAAAGAGAGGAGAGTAGAAATGCAGGAAGATAGATATAGAGATATAAATAATAAGTAGTGGCAAGAGCAGAATGAAAACCAAGCAGGGGACGTGCAGTAAGAATATAAATAGATTCAAGAGAAGACGATTGAAACAATTCATTCGGTACTTCATTTCTCATTAAATCAAAGTATTCCACTGTATGAAAAGTTTCATGGCAGAACATTAAGTCATCTATCATACCCAAATAATGACAATTTCAATAATATGCAACACACACCGTACGTAGTTTTGTATTGATATATTCACATGCTATATAGTATATACTCGTGGTATAATCAATGTCTTGAGATGGCGCTATTGCAGTGTATCACATGACACAAGGAGAATTAAGTACTGTACATGCACTTTGACAGCTTATTTGAAACAAAGAATGGATCTGGTATAGACATGAAAAGTCATCTTGGAATGAATGCAATGGATTGGATATTGATTTTAGTAACTTTTTACCAATATTTACAAGATACATATTTTTTGGCCAACACATCTTTTCTTTTTTATTACATAATATAATAGTAATTAAACATTTATATATAGCTCATAACACATACATGTAGGCAAATTGCATGTCTCTATGCACTTTTATATATTGTTAATATGTCTCTAAGTTATTTTTCGTATCACCTTGGATTGATGAAAATATATAATTGTAGTATTTATGCATGGTGGATATGTGCGCTATATAATTATCCAATATTATCATTATTATTAGTATTTATATTCAGCATATTGTATAATACTTGTAAGTAAACTTTAATCAAAGGTTTCCACAATTGAGGCAGCTTTTGCTGCAAACAGTCTGGAGTGGAAAACATGCATCATATATAAATATATCATAACATCTATTTTTAAAAAAGGTACATATTGAAAGAGTACATTATATCTAAGAATCTATTTGTTTTACTATGTAAACTGTTATTCGGCAGATTCAAGTTAAAGTCACCAATTAGGTAAATTTCTTTCTTTTCACCTCCCAATATTTCTAATACATGTATGTTATTCAGTAAAATCTAGCATATGATCAGTATTTGGTAGGCGATAAAAACATGCTTCAACAATGGATTTGTTATTATGAGTGATTTCTAAAAAGAACATTTCATACATCATTGTGATACATGACAAATTATTTCTTAATATTTAAAGATAAACTCCGGTAATTTCTGGTAATGCGATTGCATTGTGAAAGAAAAGGTGTGTAACGGATCAGAAACAGTTCTGGAGTCATCAAAATCATAATAAATTTGGCAGAGTCTTGGTAAAGTAACACGCACTGTACACAGAAAGCGATATATGGGACAACACACATGGTGATGGGGCTAGTACTACCTTGATGTCCTTGCCTTTCTATGCTCATTACTCAGCCAGTATACATTTTCTTCCAAAATTGTTTGGCACATGTCATTTATTTGTAATCTTGAACATTCAGTGTAAGTTTCGTTTGATTCTGTGAGAATTAATTTCTTTTTTTTTACCAGAACTGGAGTTTATCTTTAATTAAATCCATGTTTTACATACATTTGCAACTCCATCACCAATCTTATCCTGTCAACAAATATGATCCAGAAAATATTGTTTTCAATATAATTTGTATTTAAATTTGTATTTAAATTAAACCCATTTTCAGACACTGACATGACACTGAAGTTGAATTCAAGATTCATAAAAGTGTGTTAAACTGATCACAGTTTCTTTGAAGGCTTCTTGCATCTACATGGAAGACTGAAAAATAAAACTGATCTATTGAATATTTAGCATAAAAATCTTCACTGAACATATACAGGGTATTGACAACGTGTGACTGATTCTATTTCAAAATTGTTTTGCGCAATGTCAGGATTTTGATCATCGTCAATTGTTCAATAAATTGATGTATTCATGGAAAAAGGATTAATTTTCAATGACTGTACATGCATTTTGTTTACATCGATCGTTTTAGATTTAGTTATGATGAATAGTCAGGTAAAATTCACTCGAAGTAGCCAGGGTTAGCAATCTAAAAAATTATGAATTTATGGAATCAAAGGCAACGCATTGTGACTGGTGTCATATGCCGAGTGTTGATTTACATGACATATCATCCATTCCTATGTTCAATAAGTCATCTTTGCCCTTTTCTAATCCCCCTCTTTGGTTCTAAGACACCTACCCCTTGGACATCCACCCCATGGATGACCACACCCAGTCAACTATCCCCTAGGACAACTATCCCCTAGGGCAACCTACCTTGAGGGTTAATCATCCTAGAGGGTGGTAGCCCTAGCGGGTAGTTGACTGGGGGTGGTTTTCCCTGGGGTGGATGTGCAGGGGGTAGGTGTCTGGATACGCCCCTTTTCACAGTACATCTTCCCTTGCTAGTAGAAGATCAATGGCACTGCCGTCTAAAGCCCATGCAGTCCATACTTTTGATGTGATGCAGGTTTTTCGCAAGAAGTGCCTGGTCCTTCACTGTCAAATCCTACACTATCGATAGTCCTGATTATTTGATCGTCACATTATAAGATGAGAAACAGTGCCACAGTCAGATTAATTTATAGTCACAATAAGAAAAGTTCGAACAGTTAACACCAACCGATATTAAAGGCAGCGTTTAACAATGTTAAACCTGAGATGCATGGCCCTACATGTATAATCAGTGTCTGTGATATGGTGTAATGTTGAAGCCCTAAAAAAAATTGCCCTTCAAATTGATCATGAAGTGACTCAAAAAAGTAAAACAAATCTTTTAGTGACTGGTTTTACCATACTTTTACATTTCCCCAAATAGACTGTAGTGTTATGAAAACCGTTAGGAAAACGCAAAATTTGATTTCGATTTCCAATCATAAATATCTTGATAATCAGACAGGCAATCGGCTTGTAAAAGTCATGGTGCTCCTGACTGACCTAAAGGTTTATCATTATCATTGTAGCATGAGCTAAATCCAGGATTTTGTTTCAGAATCTGAGACAAAATTACCCAATCCCTTTAAACTAAGAGGAAAAAAATGAAGTCAACAAATAAGTTAATCGACCTTCACTATCTATTGGTAAGTAGATTTGCTATATGTTTGATGTCTAAGGCACTAGTTCCGCAGCAACCCCCGATGTACTTAACTCCTGCCTCTATCCATGCCGGTATGAGGTCATCAAACTCATCAGCAGCGGTCTTTCCGCATACGCTGTACAATAAAATGATAAAATGGAAGAAATAATTATCAATAATAAATGAATAATACACCCCCAAAATACAGAAACTATTGTTTGAAAGGAAAAAAAGCTAAATGCAACTGTGTCTCCTAAACGCCTTCGCCCTAAATTCACTAAAGGAAATGGATGGAATTATTTGTGACATATCACGATGAACACAAATCAAATCAAATGTCAACTGACATTGGTAAAAACTCAAACGGGTAGGACGGCATAACATACCAACGCTAGCTACTCTAATGTTTTTCCAATTATGTCTAGTTTTCAATTTGAGACAACTTAAGTCTCTGTTACATGGATGATGCTATCTTTTAATCCAGCAAAGTTCTTGTTTAAAACATAACTGGGTCTAGGCCACTGACTCAACCAAAGCCATTTATACACAGAGATTGGCCAACTTAGGTTTACTTGGTCACAACATGTGATATATCCTTATATTATTTGCTTGCCTAACAAAGCAATATTTGCCATATTATGCTCAAGTCAAACCATTTGAACCAACTTGCCCAAAATCTCCTCATCAATAGCATTGCGCTCGACTGTTCAGGTACCAACCCCCCCCCCAAAAAAAAAAGGACAGACAAAGATTGTTCACCTATCATCTATCCACTGCTCTCCGGGTGCGTTGGGATAAACGACAAAGGGTTTTCCATTCCTGGATGTTGAGGCACTCTGTAGCAGCGCTGTGACGTTTTCTGCAGCGATGCAGTTGGTACCGACTCCCACTACCTGGGAGCAGGCGCTGACTTTGCTAACGGCCTCAGCAAAGCTCTCTCCATGGCCTATGTGGGATTTGTCCTTTGGAGAATGAAAATACGAGAATGATTAAGTAAACACTCTTTTTTAAAAATGAAATGCCTTGGGTGTGTAATCGTTTTTTTGTTTCTTCAGATGTACAATAATCAGATATAATTATTTATGTCTGGGTATGGCCATCATTCGACAGGCACAATTCTGTTTCCTAAAGGGGTTCCATCAGATTTTTAGGTGGAGTTGAGAGCCGACTACTTGACCAATGGACAAAGATTGAAACGAGGGAATATAAAGGAAAAATAGGAGGGTGTTTATAAAATACCATTTAGGAAAAGTGAAAAAACAAACAAGACATAAAACAAACAAACTATTAGGGCCATCCAAGGGAAACACAAAATGTGGCCACTGGAGACAGGTGGCCTATCTAGACATGTTTTTCCACATGTTTTCTTCGATAGGGAGACAAAAAAATTGTGTTTAAGCACGCCCCTCCCCTGTTTTGAGTCAGGTTCAGGGGAACAACTTCCCTGGACAGAATGTAAACCGGAGGCCCATGTGTAGGAGAATCAGACCCTATCCATGTTAAAGCCCCACTGCACTAGTTTGGCCAGGAGAGATTAAACCTCCCTGCATGGTCACTGACAGGTGGTTATCTCATCAAATCAGCTCTCAATTAACATAAGAAAAGGGGATCATAGGGGACCAATGGTCACCGATAAGGCATTGTGGGCTATATAGAGGGTGCAAGTGGCTGCAGTTGGGCTTTAATATGCTACACTTGATCAAGTGACCATTTCAGACAGGAAGACCTTATTTTGATTATCTCTTGGAAATTAAAATAAAACTGAAATAAGGACAGGTTCGACTGCATACCTTGCAGTAGAAAGTCAGCCATGCCTTCATACTTGGAAACTCTTGTAGAACTGACAGTAGAGCTTCGGCCTCAACAATGGACGGGATAGTTTCTATGGCTAACAGATCAACCTTGCCATCTACAAGTGCTTGGATGCGGGGTCTGTGCCACTGCTTTAATTCCTGATGATATATAAAAAGAGAAAGAAACTAGTGATTAAAATCTTCATTTATTCTACACTGTAGGACAAGTCTAAGCTATTATGTCCCATACACATGGCATTACTGACCACAAATAAGATTTTGGTATCTGATGATCTTATTAACTGTCCATGTACATGTACCGCTGCTGTTGCTTTATAACACGTACATAAATGAGCATAACACATAAACCAATGTCCTGAACAGCTACTTTATTTCATCCCCAATTGCCATTCACTTACATGCAAAATAGTAATGATGATTGTAATAATAATAATAATAAAAACAATACAAATATGAAATAATTAACAAAATGATAATAATGGTAATAATAATAATAATAATATTATTATTATTAATAATAATTATGATGTCAATAATAATAATAACAATTAATACTACTAATACTAATGATGATAACAAAACTAATAACAACAATAATTATAAAGATAATAACAATAATAAAAACAATAATAATAATGATACTAACAATAATATTAATCAACTGTTGATAACAATATAATTATAATAAAAATAATATAATAACAATGACAATTATTTACAAAATCCATATATTTGCAGAATTCATATTTGTTTATATATGAAATAATATATACAATACCTTGTGAGAGCTTCAAACATATAAATGTAAAGGATCGTTCAAGTTATGAAGAAAAAATAATCTTTCAAGGTTTTTTGAAGGATTTCCTAGCATTCAGGTTAACAATTTTGAAAAATATGATTTGTGGCAATTTTGGCATCCCAAATTTGTTTACGAAACGTGTTCAGAAAACAAATATGCGAGGGGCACATTTATCACACCTCTAACTAAACTTTAATCTTACTGCCTCAAAATTTCCCAAAAAAAACTTTTCCAGAAGTTTGAAATAAACCATTTCGTAATTCAACCACTTATTCTTCAAGATATATTATACATATAGTACCTTTAAGATATTGGTAAACACAGCATTACTGTTATTATCAATGATTGTCTATACTCTGCAGTCTCCAAGTTTTGAGAAAGCGCGAGTTTTTCGGCTGCATTGCCCGCAATGGTTCATACTTAAACTTTGCAATTTGAGATCATGGTCGTTTCCTTGATATTGATGTTCAAGAGTTTGTTCACCAAAAGCGAGTTGTTTAGAAGCACTTCCTGTGGACGATGGATGGGCCGGACTCATCGTATTCCTGCTTGCTGATCCACATCTGTTGGAAGGTGGAGAGAGAGGCAAGGATGGAGCCTCCGATCCATACGGAGTATTTCCTTTCTGGAGGAGCGATGATCTTGATCTTCATGGTTGGTGGGGCAAGGGCGGTGATCTCCTTCTGCATCCCGTCGGCGATTCCTGGGAACATGGTGGAGCCTCCAGACAGAACAGTGTTGGCGTACAGATCCTTACGGATGTCAACATCCGATAATGATAATAGTAGTAAAAGATTCTGTGGTTTCCATTGTCACATGTGAACAAGCCCTATAATGAGCTCATGATTCATGTTTTAATAATGTATGAACACAGCCTACCTCCATTGTCATGTTATCCACGTAGTTGCCATGGTATTCTGAGAAGTCTAGCAGACAAGCTCCGTAAGGTCCTACCGATCCAGCGATGAGAGGCTTCCTTCTTCCTTCAACAAAATCACAGGAACAAAAAATAGCAACGATAACATTCTGGGGGCAAAGATCCAAAGTTGGACTTAAAAATAATGGAAAGCCATTAGCATCTATGAAAATATTTTGTAAAAAGTTATTTCAGAAGGCATAAAATGTTGATTCAAATCATTCATATTTGTTATTATCAATGAGATTTCATGTTCTTGATGCGAAATGTATAAAAAGTCTAAAAATGATTTTCGTTTTGAATATATTTTATTTTAAGGCTACTAATAGCTGTCCATAATGTTTAGGTCCAACTTAGAGTTAATTTCGACTTAGGATCTTTGTGAAACACCCCCTGGACTTGCATTTAAATGCCTAGAACATCTAGGATGTCTGTAGGTGCCTTACAGATATGGGGGTCGTTGGATGTATGCGTGCTGCACACAGTATCTTCGCATTTTCTACACCTCGGGGAGTATTCCAGCCTTGCGCAAGTTTTTACAGAAGATTACAATGACTTTTACATACATACCTATACAAAAATTAACATCCGGATGGAGAGAAGCAATGTAGATAAAATGTTTGCTTAAGGACAAGAGTGCCTTGTACTATACACCTTGGTACTGTGTTGGGGAATGGACCCATTACCTTCGCATCTCTTTTTTAAAATTGGCATCTTATAAATCATGTATTCATTTATTTATTTATATATTCATACTCATTATTATTCTTATTTTTATGAATAATTTTTTAATTATTATTATTGAAATTTTTATCACTATCATTATTCTTATGTATATGTATCATCATGTTTCAATAATGTACATTGTCATATATCATCTGCTGAGAGCCAGAAGGGTGTCAGAAGGGTGACATTTCTGGCCTTCTCCTTATGATATACAATACAAAAGGATAATAATGTCAACCTGTTTTAAGTACATATGCTGATTTTTTGTTTGTTTATCAACATGATCAAATGACAAAAAAAAAAATAGATAACACACAAAAAAAAAAAAAAAAAAAAAAAATCATTTCAAAGACCTTCCTTCTTCCATAAATTAAGTACCAGGTTGAGATTGTTTCTCCCAGAATTCCTCCACTGCCTGCCTCGCGATGTCACATGCCGTTTGAATCAGCTTGCTGAATTCCTCTGCTCCTATCCCTGCTGCCTTCTCAAACAACTCTAAACTGGCCTGCAGGAGGAACAATCAAACAGCAACAACTCAATGCCATCATCACTTTGTTGGTGTGTAAAGGTACAATTCCAAATTATCAAAAGAAAAAGAGCTAAAAGGAGCAATTAAACTATTCGAAAGAAATAAGGGGGGGGGGGGGAAGGAAAAATAACATTGGAAAAATCTGCCTTTTATAATCTGTTAAGATGCAAGTGCACAGACAAAATGAAGACATACATGTAGATCTGTCAATAAATTCTTATTTCATTTTCTTCTGTTTTTAATTCAGGAGTCTGTTTTTCGCAGGTAATTTCTTAACAGTTAAACTATAACTTGGATAAAATGTAAAAAGAGAAAAAACATTTTTATCATTTGCCAAAGTAGTCTTTTGATTTTAAATACGGAAAAAATAAACTCTAAACATTTAATAAACTTCATTTAGAAGAGTAAGTAAGATACCACTTTTCAATATGTTTTTTATTAAAGAAAAAGAAAGAAATGAATTTACCTGGTAAGTACCTGTTAAGATGACATCAGCACCATGTTCAAGGAAACTACAATTAAACAAAAATGAATATAAGTCTTTTCAAAATTGTATTTATTATCCGAGTACAATCATTTTATTTTAATCAAATGGTTAAATTTTTTGAAACAACACATTGGAGCATTGTTTTCTTGACAAAATACTACAATGAACTGTATTCTCAAGTCAGAACGAAGAACTAAAGACCTTTAAAAAACTAAGTGCAAAACAACACAACAATTTCTGATGCTGATGTATAGATTAAAATGCATGAAGCGAAGACAATGAGCCAAGAAGTGTTCTTAAAATTAATCCCTGTTTCAAAATTATAATCATTATACCCACAAATCTTTGGAAAAGTGTTGATTTGAAGTCCAGGAAAACCTACCTGAGATGCGCTTTCCGGAGTGCATTATGATTTTTCAAAAGATATGTCGATGTCCACAGGGGATCCTTGTCAGTCTAAGGTGAAAACAATAAATTCAAAATGATGAAACATGAAAAACAGATTACCAAGGAAGAGTAATAAACTCAGAGAAGATTATGGTCAAATTAGTGCAAATGAGCAAAGCATGAAAGAGAGAGAGAGAGAGAGAGAGAGAGAGAGAGAGAGAGAGGGGAAGGGGGGGGGGGGGGACATCATGCATTTTATTAATTTTATAGTAGGATCAAGGGCAAGTCCTTACCCTTATCCCTTGGTAGAAGTCTGGCAGTGCAGAATCAGATGTAGTCTATAAAACTTTTAAGCACAATAGTACCAACATTTTCTGCAAATTGTGCAAAGTAATAACATTTTACTGATTCAAATACTATGACAATAGATCTTGGATATTCCAACGCTGTTACATGTATACGAATAATCACAGTCGGTTCTCACAATTTTTTTAATTATTTTAGTTTTTTCAATACTTGGTTGGTCTTTTTTTTAGATTTTCATGGGTTATGGGGAGATGAAATAAAGCTCTTTTTTATTTAAAAATTATTTTCCAGAGACTTTCTTGGACTTGGACCAAAACAAAAAAAAGTTTAATGCTCTCCTCCATGCTCCAAGAGATGTAGCAAGATGTAGCCCTAGCAGAACATGTCCCTGAACGAAACAGCCTGATATTTCGGTCTTACTGAAGTCTAAAACTTAAGAGTCCAAAAAAGATTATTATTTTCAACTTGCAAACTTTGAATTAGACTCCAGAGATGTAGAGGTCTAGTAGTATACAAGTTTGTTTTGTAGGCCTAATTGTAGCAGATTATCATTAGACAACATGCAACAGTTGCTAATTGGAGAGTAGATCTACCTGAATTATTCTAGACTCTAGATCTAGACCTCTAGATCTAATATAATAATCTAGACTCTAGTCTAGGGAATTATATTAAATTAAATCCTGATTCCGATAAATTTGGAGTTCATTTTGAACTGGTGCAGCGCAGTAAATGCCCGACACACAGTCTCATGACTCAAGTCAAGGTATAATAATAATAATTAACATAAGGTTCTGGCCCTGCCGCAACCGATACGGGCCAGGGGCAGTGGTGGGTGTGCTCCACCGAACGCCGCCCCGAGGCCGAGGTACCGGTATAGGCCTATCCCGTATCGTTAGCAGCGAGAAAACTGATAAATTCCCCCCAAAAACTATCAACAATATATGTTAACTCACCAGGTCAACCGGGAAACCGAGTCTTATCAGCTCTGTGCTCAGACCTCCATCAACGATGAATATATCCGAATTTTTAGATGCCATTTGAATGGATTCTTGCCTTCGATTTTCATTTCACTTTCAACTTTCAAGTTTCCGAAGCGAAGGCTCATTATCAATCAAACTGAAATTACCGACTATTTTACTTGGCCGTAAGGCCATGTGGGCTAGTATAGCTACGGGTGATCGTGAACAACGAACTCAAATCATGGAGACACCAAGGATTTTGATGCGGGTGAAGTATCGGCTTTTTCCAAAGTTTCTGATTGGCTAAAAGTTTAGGCCAATCACGTAATGTATAAATCATTTCACCCATTCTGCGTCACGCGTCCCTCGATCACTGGGCCATCCTGGTGGGCCATAGCACATCTAAACTGTTTAGACTACCCAGGGTGTGTGTGTGAGGGGGGGGGGGGGGGGGGGGGAGGGGGACTCACATATAAGGACACACGGGTGTGCCGCTCTGACTTACGGGTCACTTTTTCACACAAAATCCCTAAACATGGGTCCCATTTTTAACAAAAATATCCCCAAACATGAGTCTGTTGTTTCAAAATTGTGAAAAATGGGCCTTAAAAATTTCGAGAAAATCGAGTCACACATCAAAGATGAAAAGGGGCACTAATTACTCAGGAAAATCAACACTTTTCAAAGTAAAAGGGACACCTCTCAGATTTAAATAGGGGCTTTATCCGAGGTTGTAAGGGGGCACTTTTAAAATGTGGAAACGGCACCTATTAGAAATTAAAAATGGCACTTTTCAATTTTGTGAGGATCTTTTGTATGTTTTTTTTTAGGTTTTAGTTTTGGGGCTCAACTTATTTTGAACATTTCAACATTTTTATTTGAAGCTCCAATTTTTTTCGGCACCATATTTCGATATACTATTTTGATATACCGGGACCGCCACAAAATCCCTCAATAGCTTAGATTTTTAGTTTTGACGCTCTCCTAGATTCGGTTAAGCCAGAATTTCTTCAGATTTATCCAGCTTTTCTAAGGGGGGGGGGGGGCAGTTGAGAATACCAGCCTGTTTTTTAAAACTTGAATAAACGACATTTCTCAGGAATATGATTTTGATAATTTATTTCTGAATATAGCCCTTAATTGAAGTCATTATTTTTTTTCTTTTTCTTTTCTTTAGAAGATGAAGGGCTCCTTGATCTGGATATGCATATGGACAATTTTTTCTCCAAGAGATTACATGTTAAGGGGCGATTTTAGTAATAAATTAATTGTTCCCAATATTGTTTTGAGTAAGGTTCTTTCACGTTGAGTAATATTTTTTGTTTTATTGGTTGGTTGGTTGGTTCGGTTTGTTTGTTTACCTGAGTCATAACTCCTAAAAAATAATATGTCTTCCTTTGAAATTGGAGATTGTAAAGGACAACAATATTTTAAAGAAGGATTTCCACAGCGACTCTTAGGCTAGTTATAATCCCGACCAATTATTAGTAAACCAGTGTTCAAATACAGCGTATTATATATGTGGAATTAGACAGCCTTATATTTCGAGAAAAGTCTGCCAAAATGACCCTTAAAAATGGAAAGGGGTTTCGAGGCTTGAGCGGCACACCCCTGTCCAAACTAAATTTGAATACTCCCCCCCCCCCCCTCCTCCGGGGGGGGGGGGCGACCCAATGGACATTTTATGTCAACCGAAAATGGGGGGGGGGGGAGGGTACATAACATTTTCATGGTATCTTTCTTTTACAAAATCTCTGACAAGTAAAACAAAATGCAGCATCAACCAAGGAGATTAAAACAAATCACAACAGTAAAGGACAAACTATATAGTTACAACCACAACACCCTTACTTAAACGACAATGCTGTGTTTGAGTATTAGTTTTATCTTCGAGTCTACCATACACAGCTCACTGACCGTACACACGTGGAGTGAGAGATATCTTCAGTGAGATATTCATACACGCTTTATTCTGCACGAGGAACAATTTGTAAACAATGCCGAGATTTCCTCCTCACCAATTTCACGGCCCTAATTATGGGCCGAGATATCCAGGCAATGATGGACAATTTATGCAGGGACCCAGAGGATTCCCAGGACCCAGCAATTTCCAGATTTTCATCACGAAGGAGCAAGATTTCCCGGGCCACATGGACACGGAATGCCACCAGAACCTTTCTTCCAGCGGGGACCACGACCACCCTATCGGGGTGGGATGGGAGGCAGGCATGATGGGTTCCCGATGGCAGCGCACGGGCACGGGCCACCCGGGGGAGGATTTGAAGGGCAGTTCTCACCTCCAAGGTTTCACAGGCCGACAAACGGGCCAAACGATTACAACAATTTTAATGCTAATAATAGGGACAATAATTCCGGTTTCAACATGAAACGTGGTCGTGGACGAGGTGGTCGTGGACGAGGTGGACATGGAGGTGGTGGACATTCCTTTGAACAGGTACGACTACGAGCTAGTACACTAGTACTAGTAGATCTACAGTAAAATTAAAAGTAGGTCTAATCATATAAAAGTCTTAATTTGGGTTCCGTTTCTTTAACCAACTTTTGTCAAACGAGATCCAGGTGCACGATTCGTTACACATATGGAACTTGAAGTAGATCTAGATCTAGATCTAGGTCTAGACGGTAATCTAGAATGAAAGAAAGTAAAAGAAAAAGAAAAGAAAATAGATGAAGAGTACATACTAAACAAGTAAAGTAACTTAAATAACAAGAGAGAGAGAGAGATACACACACAAAACAGGAAGGAGGAGGAGAAGAGCCAGAAGTGGCAGAACTGAACTTTCAAGAAAAAGTGCAAGAAGAAGAAGAAAAAAAAATCGACAAAAAAAAATTGACAAAAAAGGAAGTGGATTCAGGGCCAGGTAGATAAAAGTCACCATCGATATCAGAAACCGAAGCTTTTGAACTACAACTAGTACAATGTAGGTCTGGTCGATCTTGCCAGAAGTTGGCAACTGCACGACTATTCAAGCCCTTCAATTGAAATGCCTATCAAACTATCAAAGTTCTTAATTTTTTTACTTATTTCATATTGTTCTCACTTCTCATCAATACTGCCTTCCAGTTCCTCTTTAATATGTAGACTATTTTCTTCGATCACATTCGGTTCCAGTAAAATTTGAGTTACAACAAAAATCTTTTGCTTGCGTCTCTCTTTGTGTTTCAGCAAGGGGGAGGCGGGAAAAAGAAAAACAAGAAAGCCAAAGCGCCGAAGGAAATCAACTACTCCCATTACTGTGACGTATGTGACCGAGGTTTTCAGTCGGATGAGGAACTCAAGAGTCACATAGCTGAACATGTCAAGGTAATGTCAGAGGTCATGTCACGTCAGGTCAGGTCAGAGGTCAAGCATGTCAAAACGGTCTCATAATTGAGCAGGTTCAAGCTTTATTTATTCCTATTTACTGACCACTTTCTCAGGTTTTATTATATCTGATTATTATCTTATGAAAGTTAAGAGTGCTTAATTATATCTGTTCTTGATAATGTGAAAATATTAAGTTGTTCATGCACTGGTGTAAGTTAACATGCTATTGAGGAGAGTCGGATTAGGTCTGTGGAATGACAACATAAATGTATTTAGGAACGACCTGCAAGGGATACAAAGCATTTGTTTAAAGAGAAGGTTGAGTTCTAGGAAGAGGTGAAAAATAATTTGCGAGAGCTATTGTTATTTTGCAAGTGTGGAAGAAAAACAGATAAAACATGTTCCCTGAGAAGCATGGCTCTTCAAAAGCCTTTATATTCTAAATATGGCATGTAACAGCATACAAATCGGGACAGATTTTTATACCACATGTTCGTCTGTTCATTGCTGATTTTGTAATTTGAATGAATTATATTAAACAAAAACATCAACAACAACCAAACATCAAGAGAAGACTAAACTTTTTTTCTTCTTAATTTGTTTTCCGGGTGGTCAGTGCGAGGAGAAGGATTGTAGGTTTGTTGGACATCCCAAGGTGGTCAAGCTGCATCACAAGCTGCACCACGGCCCTGGGTCAAGGAAGATCAAATGGCTGGACACGCCCGATGAAATCCAGAAATGGAGGAATGAGAGAAAGAGGTGGGTGTGCTGTAGTTGTATGGGTATCCGTGTCACCTGCCCCTGGATTAATCTGTCCAGGAGAATGTTACACAAAGATCCTAAGTTGAACTTATCTCTAAGTTGGATTTAACAATTATGGAAACCCGTTAGCATCTATGAAAATACTTTGTAAAAGTTTTTCTAAAAGGCATAAAATGTTGATTCAAATCATTCATATTTTCTATTATCAAGGTGATTTCATGTCCTTGATGTGGAATTTATGAAAAGTCTAAAATACTTGAATTTTTGCTTTTGAATATATTTTTTATTTTAAGGCTACAAATGGCTCTCCATAATTTTAAAGTCCAACTTAGAGTAAAGTTTGACTTACATGTAGGATCTTTGTGAAACACCCCCAGGTTTGAGCTGAAGTAGTAGCACTTCCCGAATGCACTTGGACTTTTGATCGAGAAATGGCCGGTTGAACTACAGTGGCGGTATTATTCATCTGCAGATGAAAACTGAAGACCCACTCCAAATTAGATCATGCGATGCTCGTTGAACTATATGCAGTCTGGAATTCAGAATGTTATAAATATCATATGTCGCATTATCATGTTCAATTGTGCATAATTTACAATAAAATTTATTTTAGACATTGATTTGAAGTTCCATTCTTCTGGACTCGGCCGTTGATTTCTCATTGCTTTATTTGTAGAAACTTTCCCACGGCTGAAAACATCGCCAAGAAAGGTTCAAAGGTCGAGCAGAGAGAGAAGCAGGGCAATGTCCTGGAGACCAAACACTTTGGGTGAGTGAAGTAGAGAGGATTACATCAGGATGATCAGGGCTATGTGATGAAATATCTGGATATTATAAAATTGAATACTGTTTATTGGCTTGTATTACAGGCATTGTTGAACAATGCCAAATCTTAGATGCATGGCCCAACGTGTTATCAGCGTCTGTGATATGGTGTAATATTGAACCCCTAAATAAGTTGCATCTCAAAAAAGTAAAAATCTTTGAGTGACCGGTTTTACCAGACTCATTTTCCCCAATAGACTGTAGTGTTAGAAAAACTGTTGGGAAAACGGTTTGAAATTTCGAATTCCAATCTTAAATAATTTGATAATCAGACGGGCGATCGGCTTGTAAACGTCATGGGATTCCTGACTGATCTAAAGGTTTATAATTATGAATGCAGCATGAGCTAAATCCAGTTTAGAATCTGAGACAAAGATACCCAATCCCTTTAAATTGGTTATTTCACAATACTTTTCCTCCAAATGAAGAGTATTGATAGGGTAGTGAGTTTTAGAAATTATTAAATGAGATGATCTTTCGTAAACAGTAGCTGTTCTAGAGAGAGGCTAACCCCACTTTCCAAACCTCTGCAAGACCCCCCCCCCCCCCATTTTTATTGATTATAAATGAAGTTAAGCAATTTGTACACAAAATAGTGATTATAAAATTCCATACCACCTTTATTACCAATTGAGAATTGAGAGACTGTAATGATCACAAGAACCGCTCAATGTACTGCATTAGAAATGGACTAAATAATTTCTGTGTTTTGTCCATCATTACATCACAGTGACACTGTCTATTCAGCCAATTTGAAGAGGCCATTTGATTATGATTATAACTTTCAAAATGTCATAACTTTTCAATTTTTAGTCCAATTTTGTTCTAACAATCACTAATCTGCTTCTCTGATTTTTCTGCTTTCTTTTAGATTAATTTACTATTAATGTTGGATTTCCCTTTAAAATTATTAGGGAATGATTATAATCATCATCATCATTGAGGGCTGCGGGCACGTCAAGCTACTTTGCTCATGCTGTAGCCCTCCTGCATCTAATGTATGTTATTATGCATTCAATATATTTGTTTACTTTTGTACATTTGCTGTATATACATATGAAATATTGTATCAAACCATATTATGTTTATGATAATGTATGATGAAAAAGAAAGAAAAAAATAGATGCAGACACCAATAAATCAAGTCAAATCAAATCAAAATGATTATGTTTTTCTCACTCCAGGAAAATGAAGCGAAAAACACACCGGGGTAAGAGAGGTGGGGAAAAGGTCCGACATAAAAGGTTGATGATGGAGGCTCTGGCGAAAGAATATGGTGGAGGTAACGAGGTAAGTATATTTACCACAGCTTTACAGTTATGCAATTCTGCACGATCTGTCCCATACACCATCTGCCATTCAATTAAAATTTAGAAATAAAAAAATGTCTTGATGTGATCATTAGGCCTAATATTTTTCAGTTTTTAATGTTTTAATTTTTTTTCTTCTCTAAAAGACGGTAAAAAAAACCTTTTTCGAAAAGCCGACCATAGATTTCAAGATTTTTTGGTCGGTCGCTAAGGGCAATACAACATCTTTTTTTTAAGGCCCTAGCTATTTTTAGATGCAATAGAAGGATGAAAGTCATGTACCACATCCGACACATTGCGTTTAATTGTCCTGGGGGTGTTTCATGAAGACTAAGATCAACTTTAAGTTAGACTTAACTATGGCAGGCTGTTCATGCTACTAGCAGAGATGCCAACCAGTACGATTTAATCGTATTTAGTACGATAATAAAAGTGGAATACGATAAAACGATATCACCTCTTAAAATACGATTTTTCAAAAAACTAACATTTTTATTATATTTTTTTTAATACCCATAAAAACCACTGAATCGCATTAAAACATGAACAAGTAAATCCCCGCAGCCTCAATAAAAACTTTGCTTTACAATTTTCTTTTAAAATTTTAATGAAAGAGCAAACATTTTACTTGACTGTACGTACCAGTATCACATTTTTCTGAAATTTTACTGGCCCGGGGCCAACCGGCCATTAGTAGTGTCGAGTTTTCGTGAAAATCTGATTTTTTAGGATACTTAGTCTGTTTTTTTGTGTCAAGAGGTATATTTTTTTCCTTCAATAACGAACTATCAAAAAGGTAAATTCTGTAGATTTGTGACCACGATTTTGTACGTCCCTTGAGAAACCAATGCCAGGAACGGTTTGAGGAACTAGTGGCATGAAAGGCCTGCCATAGTTAAGTTCAACTTAAAGTCGATCTTAGTCTTTGTGAAACTCTCCCCTTATCTGCGCCGAAGAATCTGGGGCTATCAACACTCAGAACTTCACTGGCTAATGCTCAAATTCAAGGCTTACAGTAGGTAATTTGGCGTTCCTTACCTTTCCTGGTAAGAAAATTTTCCTAGACACTTTCCTTTGGTAGTGGTATAGAGGTGTCGTGACCATTTGGTTTAATCACTTGACTGTAAATGCAAAAGTCACGTGTTCAATACCTGACACGGCACTTGAGTCCTTGAGTTAAAGGAATGTGCACTGTATTAAAGGGATAGTTGAGTTCTGTTGCAGAGTGTCAAATTTGAAAGAACATAATATTTAAATGACAAAATCATCTTTGTTTGATCAAAATCGGTTCAGAGACTGCTGAAATATAACGATTTTTAATCCTTGTGTACCACCACAAATATTAGATATTTTGAAAAATTTGAAAAAACTGTTGAAAAAACCCGAAATAACGCCTTTTACGTCGTATTTCAGCCAATGTCAATGTAAGCTTTTTTGTTGACATTTTTGTGTTGCTTTATTACCCACAATTAGCCAGCTCATTTATTGTTATTTTTTATTAAATAATTAATTAACGGTCACCATGTTTTTTTGAAAGTGGAGCTGAATTGGTATGATCGTATTGGCAAAATTTCACACATTTTGGGGTCTAAAATTACCTTCATAGCAATTTTAGGTTCTAAAAGGGCACTATAAATGTCATAGATAAGAATGAGAGCAATAACCATTCACTTTGAAGGCATTTGCGGTCTGAAAACAGAACTCAACTATCCCTTAAAGGTGTAGAATCCAGATAATGTATTTAAAGCGCTTTGGTCAGTTACGTTATAACCGGTAAGGTTCTGTTTGAAAAACAGTTATTATTTTGTGTTCTTCGTCTTCTTTGTCTTATTATCATCATCATCATCACCATCACCATCATCATCATCATCATCATCATCATCTTCATCCTCATTCAAATACATAACCTCAGGGAGATGCCGTTCCAAGTGACTCCGACCAAGTCCCGCCCAAAAGGAGAAAAACCGAAGATGGACAAGAAGGCAAATCCTCATCTGCAGCTGAAGGACAGGAGGCCAAAGCTTCTGACCCAACGCAAGCAACTGAAGGCATAGCAGCAACTGGTCAACAAGGGCCAGAGAGGGAGGTAGGCTGCGACCCACTGTCTCTTCTTGCTTCACACAATGACAATGGTAACGTTTGTTAAACAGGAAAGGTTTACTGTAAAACCCAAAACTAGAGGGTTCCCGAAATTTTTTCACAAACTCTTCTTGCGGTTTAGTTTGAGAAAGTTTTGTACCGCAAAAAAAAAACGAATCACAAAGGAAACAACACTGACATTTTGCGATCCGCTGAAGTTTCCTGCTAAAAAAAACCCTGCTCTTGTTACAGATCGTTAAAGTTTTCATGTGTTGGAGAGTTTCTGATTTTATTATAGGCTTGGGGTGGCAATTGGGTTTTAGGTTAGGGTTTAGGGTTAATGGTAAGGATTAGGGGTAGGGTTAGGGTTAGGGATAGGGAGTAAGTATAGTGTTACATCTAGGGTTGAAGTTGGTACTGTCAAACCTGCTTTAGTGATCACCTGTCTACAAAGACCACCTGTCTACAAGGGACACATTTGTTGTTTCCCTTGAAAATGCTTTCTCATTGAATCATGTACTAAAGGAACCTGTCTACAAAGGCCCCTTTTTGTGTTTCCCTTGGGCAGTCGCTATAGACAGGTTTGACTGTACATTGATTAGTGTTGTATATTTACTGTGGAGCAATTATTGCAGGAGCATGTGTTGTACCAATGATTTGGTAATCCAAAGATTTAATCAAATTAACCAAATCAAAGTCTTCTTTTCAGACTTCCCAGCTATCCTTGAAATTTGGGTAACCTGCAAAATTAGTTTTCTTTTTTTTTCAGTGAGGGAACAATCATGGAATTTGATAAATTCACAGAAATTCACTGAAAATTAGGCCAATTTTATTAGCCCCAAGAGAAAGTGCCTGGGCCCTCGTATTTTTCCAAACAGCATTATCAGTTGGCTGGTTGGCTTAATATTATTTAGGAAATACCTCTTTTTCTCTCTGAAGACTTGAGGGGGAGGGGGGGGGGGGAGGTGGGGTGGATATGGTAACTTCTAATTTCAAACACTGAAGATGTTTCAAGCTGGAAATAGGTTGAAAAATTGTGGTGGAATTTTGAATTTCACACAGGAAACATCAGGGACGAATCAGGTAAATCTATTTTCATGATATGAGGGAACTCTGTTATTACTACAAAGTCCTATTTGTTTAATTCTTACAAGAAGATGACAATAAATCAGGAATGAGAAATGAAGGTAACCACTAACTTTAAACACAATACTAATGATGTTTCAAACTGGAAAAAGGTTGAAAAAAGTGTGGTGAATTTTTGAAAGTAACAAATGAGCAAAGAATTTGGGAAGAATAAGGTTGATCTATTTTTCATGAAAAATAGAGAACCCTGTTATTGGGGGTAATTCTTACAAGAAGATCACAATGAAACAAGAATAAGAAATTATAGAAAAAGAACAAATGCACAGCGAAAACAATCAGAGCTGCAAGCAATCGTCATGGTATTCATGCATTCTACCTGTAGAACAGGAAATGCAATCTAAGATTCGAGTTGAACGTTTTCTATGTGAGCGGCATTTAATTTTTTTTAAAAACAGAATATGCATGTTCGAGTTCTGTGATTATTTGCTTAGTAATGATTCAGAAACTATTGAGAAAGTACAGTTTTGTTTTAATACTTTGAATTTCACCTTTAATAATTTCCCTCCTGATTGGATTCCTCTGATGTGTTGTTGGAAGAAGCCCCTTTCCCACCTCACACAAACCAGAATAGATTGTCATTAAAAAAATAAATAATGATAATTAAAGAAAAAATTCACTCCCTCTATCATCATACCTCTTAGAGATACATGTATATGACAAAACAAACAAACAAGCATCTAGTTTGAATAGAGGATTCATGGTTCCTTGCCTTGAAATGTACATTAATTCTTTCATGATGTAACATGTATTTTCTGACCCTGTGCTGTGGCTTTGTAAATGTCTTGGCAATTATGTGAAAATGCTCATGTTTGTCCTCAGAATACATAGCAATAAGCAATACCGCCATCTGTTGACAGCAAAAATTGAATTGCAGTTTTCATCCAAATTATCCACGGGTGTTTGAGTGAATTGAATTATTAATAGAAATCAAGGCTAATGTTTAACCTATCGACTTCTGAAATTTCTCGTTCATGAAGGCTTAAAGGGACAACTCGTCAAGAATAGTTTTGCGCTGAATGCGGTGGGTTCCATACCAGTGAACTGAATTCATGTGTGCACCTGGTGCTGAAATTTTACATGGGGGAGGGGGGGGGGGGGGGGTGGTGTTGTATTTTGTTCATGCTCTTCATATTTGTTGACCTATAACATGCTGTGTGCAAATATTAAACAGGAGGGAGAGAGAGAGATAGAGCAAAGAATGAGAAAGAATGAGAGAGGTGAGAGAGAAATAGAGAGAGATAGAGAGAAAGAGAGAGGGAGAAAAAAGAGAGATAGACATAGAGATAAACAAAGAGATAGAGAGAAAGAATGAGAGAGGTGAGAGAGAAATAGAGAGAGATAGAGAGAAAGAGAGAGGGAGAAAAAAGAGAGATAGACATAGAGATAAACAAAGAGATAGAGAGAAAGAATGAGAGGGGTGAGAGAGAGAGAGAGAGGGGTAGAGAATGAGAAGAAGAGAGAGATAAAGAGAAGGAGAGAGAGAGAGGGAGAGGGAGAGTGAGAGCCAGGGGCTTGATACCAGCATAGGTGATGTAAGGTTCTACAAAATGATAATTTGATAAAGGTTTGTGCAGTCCAATTACTTATACCAGATGGTAACTACATGTATAAACTGGGCCCCGTCTTATAAAGAGTTGCAATTGATCCAAATCAATCGCAAGTTTACAGTCTCCTATCTCTTGTACATAGTTGTGATCGCCATCAATTGGAGCTGTTCAGGCCATGGTCTATATTAAAGCCTATCTGCACCTGTTTGGCCAGGAGGGATTAGACCTCCTCGCATGGTCACTGACAGGCGGTTACATCATCAAATCAGCTCTCAATAACATAAGAAAAAGGGGACCATGGGGGATCAATGGGTACCCCTTAGGCATGCTTGGCTGTATAGAGGGCTCAAGTAGCTACAAGTAGTGCAGTCCCGCTTTAATGTACTGTACCTGTATGTTGACACGATTCTACAACCACCGGTTTGATACTAATTAAAATGTTGAATAGTGGCTCTGCTTTTTTATGCAATATAGACCCACAGTGGCATTTAAAAAAAAATGTAACTGCGATCCATTGTGGCAACGTCATTCATGCAACCCAGACTCATTGTGGCAATGTTTTCGACCTAACACGAATCCATCATTTTGAAGTTTTTTAAAATGTAACCCAGACCCGTAGAGCTGTGAGCAATAAGAAAGAATAAGTGAGATGCCTTAGGCTTAGGCTTAAAAAACGGCAACATTTATCATGTTGGTTTGGCACATGGATCTAAACTGTAGTCATACTTTGTAGCTCGTATAGCATATGGAATTGAGTCTCCAATCACTTACAAGTTGCTTCGGAAGTTATGTCCCTGTAGCAGTGATTGTGTAGGAACCAGTTGTTCACTTGCTACATCTGGGTCGAGAGTGGCAAATGCAGACTGCTGTCTTGCTGAAGCTTTACTAAAGCCCCACTGCACTACTTGCAGCTGCTTGCGCCGTCTATAGAGCGTACAATGTCTAATCGGTGACCGCTGGTCCCCCATGATCCTCTCTTTCTTATGTTATGGAGAGCAGAGTTGATGAGATACCCACCTGTCAGTGACCACGCTGGGTGGTCTAATCCCCCTGGCCAAACTCGTGCAGACCAGCTTTAAAGTGTACCTACCTGTATCACCTGAAAAATAATTTGTGTATAGCTAGAATGTATCAAATCAGCCTGACAAACCTTCACCAAGCATTCTGTAGGTGATCGGTTAAAGCCAGTCTGTACTATTTTGGCCAGAAGTGATTAGACCACCCAGCGTGGTCACTGACAGGTGGTTATCTCCGCAACTCAGCTCTCAATTAACATTAAAAAAAGAGGATCATGGCGGACCAACAGGCACCTTTTAGGCATTGTTTTCTATATAGAGGGAGCAAGTAGCTACAAGTAGTGCAGTGGGGCTTTATATGAAGACACTTATAACATAAAACCCAGTGCACTTCACTATCACAGATTACAAGCAGATTTCTGCTTCTAAGGGGTTATAACCACTATATTTTCATTGTAAATTGTTGTAATACTTGTTGAATAAAGAATTGAATTGAATTCAAAATGTCACTTTGAAGAAGTAATATTTGAATACAGTATAGCCACATAGAACCCCTTACAGTTAAATCAAGAGCTTAAAGCCCATCTGTACTAGTTTACAGGAATGATTAGACCACCCAGCATGGTCACTGACAGGTGGTTATCTCATCAAATCGGCTCTTAATTAACATAAGAAAAAGAGGATCATGGGGGACTAACCAGGCACCGATTAGGCATGGTTTGCTATATAGAGGGTGCAAGTAGCTACAAGTAGTGCAGTGGGACTTTAAAATATCTATTTGATGTCATGCCAAGGCTTGAATCTCCAGTAAAAAAACACCCCACTACAACAGTTCTAAACTGCGTAGGATATTGCACGCAAGCCATTTCGTGCAATCGTGGAGAAGAAAAAATGGCCGCCGAAAAGAACAACTGTTGATTTTACCGAAACCCCTTTAGTGTATGAACATGCTGCATACAGAAAAATATAGGTTCTGCGAACTCTGTGTAATGTCTGCCCTGTGCAGACTTTTCGATGACATAATAAGGATTGTTGGTGTTTTGTATGATATTATATTTAACAGTTGGCCATATCTTTGTGCATCGAGAGAGAGCCTGAGGGTCGAGTGGGTTTTACGGCCACTGCACACAATGGACCAGGCTCCTTTGAACTTGTGACCACACTGCCTGGTTCTTTTCTTCCTTTTCATCTCTTTCAAAATTCCAGCCCTTTGTCTGGCTTCCTGTGACATAATACCTGATGCAATCGTTCTCATGGCGCGTTGGGCATAAACACTGGTTTGTAAAGTTCAGATGGGGGTGATAAATGTGGTCGATATGGGAATAAAGCGAGGCGATTTGGAAA